AAGTGAATTTTCTACACGATTAAAATCGCAACGGTACTGAGTTTGGTCTACAGGAGCTCATGTTTTGTACAGGTTATTGCATTCATAGAAGAAGCCTTTAATGGTTGAATGGACTGTACAAATGGAAGGATGGATGGACAAATTGAATGAATGAATGAATAAATAAATAGATAATAGTTGTTTTTTTTTATATTTAATAATTATATCTAATTACTTTAAATCTACTATTATATATACTTAATGTATACTTTATATATATATATACTATTATATATACTTTATAATTGATTTGATCAATCATTTTCAGACATTGCTCAGAGATTTCAAGTGCAGATAAAAGATCTGGCAAATTTTATCTTTTCATCCGAATTAACTGAAGCTAAAAAGATTGATGGCAAAAGCATTACATGCGGAAGCTTAGTCGATTATTTTAAGGTATTATTGAAATAATATAGCATTACACTTTAACTGCTTTTACCGAAATTTACACTTTAATTATCTAATGATTGTTCATTTTATGTTTCAGGATTATGTGAAGACTATTAATGAAGAAGGGGAAAAGGTTGAAAGTACATCAATAAATGAGGTAAATACTTCCATGGAAGAATATTTTTTTATTATGAAATTAATGTAAGGACCTCTTACAGGTAGAGGGCCAGTACTTCATATTTTTGCAGTACTTATTTTTTTTTCTTTTTGTTGGCTATACCACATTTTAATGGCTTGAAGTGACATTCTCAGATTTAAATAAAGAATTTAATTTTCTTTGTCTTAGCTCAGTCGGCGAGCAGCTTAGCCCCTGTAGGTCCCCGGTTCAATTCCCATCGCTGCGTCTCCTTGTGTTTCAGCTAGAGGGCTAAAATACAAGTTACAATAACGCACCGTCTTTCGGATGAGATGATTAAGCCGTTGGTTCCGTGTGCATTATGGCCCATGTGCACGTTAAAGAACGCAGTACACTCTTCGGAAAAGAGTAGGGGATTGTCTCCCGGTGTACTGCCCAATTACCACCAGAAGGACCCCACTGGAAATACTGTAAGTCTTCTTCTAGACTTTCGTGGGATATCCTTGGTGTTTACACCGAATAAATCCAATCCAATCCAATCTTAAATCCAATTTATTATTTGAAGGCATTGTTCATGTTTGATAAGGACTATGTTCTACAGTATTACTTTACAGACCTTCGCATATTCCATAAATATTTTGTTTTTAAATATTTTCTCTTTGTATTTGTCCAGGAGAGCAAATATCATATTAATACAGTACAACCCCTATTAAGGGCAAATAGAAAAATTTATTAGATTATCACTCCCGTTAAAAATTCGGGAAATAATGATGCGGAAATAAGAAAAAATTTTTGCTGCATCAATTATTTCAACAGCATAAAAATAACAATACATTTTCTTTAAAAAACTATAAAATTAAACCAGTTTTTATACAATATTTACTATTACAGACCAAATATAAACAGTCCCTCTCTCATCGATAAAAACTAAAGTAAAATAATCTATTGTTCCGATTAAAAAAAAAAAAACGCCCTCCCTCATCAATTTTTTTTTTTAAAGAGTGGTAATCTAATAATTTTTTCTATGTGCCCTAAGGGGAATGTTTCGGTACATTAACTGAGAATCCAAAATTGTCCCATTAATAGGGGTTTTCTTTGAAAAGCAAATTATACAAGGTGATTAAAATGTTAAGGTCACACAAACTTAAATCTACTAGTTTAATTGCAAAATGATTAACAATTTGAACTATAGAACTGAAA